TCACGAAGAAACTCAACTTTTCCTTAAATTTTGATACATGTCCTTTCATAAATTAGCTTCTACATGTTAAATATCAGTTAAATAACTGATGATAGTCCCGCTTGGGCCAGCAAATTCTCCGTCAGATTTTTTTTGTGATGTGCTGCGCTGTATAAACAGTAGATTATTTCTAGGTTGTTAGCTTGCTGAGATAGTACAATAGGCCTATGTGAAAGTTATTGAATACGGAACCACACTCCGGGAACATTTGTGTAAATGATATATGGTAGCCCTTAAAAGTTAACCATTTCAATCGATAAGTATTAGGAATCTTTCAAATATATCACGAAAGTTTGAACACATACCGGTAGGATTACTCTATATAACGCTATATAAATATAATTATGTGTTAATAAATTATTTGACAATTATAAATTGTGGTGGGTGTGGTAGCGTAAAAAGAGAATGTGTCCACTTGTATTTCAATTCATTTTAAAATTTACTTTGCATGGATAGATTTAACTAACCGGGTTGTAATTTCCAAATAATAAACAGAATTCTTTCGTTTTTTTATATTTAGAATACAAATGAATCCGTCTTTGACATCATGTGCACTCTTAATTGGTTTGACCAGTCTATTAACTTGCCTACCAGAAAGCTTGTCTACGACTACAACACCTGAAAAAAACGTTCATGAAACTTGTAATATGTGCTGCCACGGGCCGCCTGGGCAACCTGGGATTCCTGGGGTTCCAGGAACATCTGGAGGGTTGGGTCCAGCTGGACCATCTGGTAGTAAGGGTGACAGAGGTGAGTTTGTCCGAGGTGAAAAAGGAGATAGAGGCGAAAAAGGAGAACCGGGAAATGAAGGTTCAAAAGGTAATAAAGGAAGCGAAGGATCTCCAGGTAAACAAGGACCGCTTGGACAAATAGGACCACAAGGACCACAAGGGAACAATGGATCAAAAGGAGAAAAGGGCGAATCACCGGAAGTCCGTAAATCTGCGTTTACTGCAGTACGCACCACTCACGTACCCACTTCAGAATCGATCATTCTATTCACGTCAATGGAGATTAATGTCGGAGAAGACTTCGATAAGAATACCGGAAAGTTTACATGTAGAATTTCAGGTTTCTATTATTTCATGTTTAGTTTTTTGTCGCAAAGTGGTTATGATCTGTATGTTAAAATGAAGTTAAATGGGCGAGTTATCACAACCGTACGTCGTAGTACCACTAGTGGTTATGATCAGTTAAGTTCTGGAGCAACAGTTCAACTGAATGTCAGCGATGAAGTCTGGCTGACGAACGAAGGTAGACACGTCTATGGTAGTTCCGCTCACCCTCTTACCTTTACTGGGTTTATGGTATACGATATGAACTAACAAAGGATGTACTTTGCATTTTTGATGATTGTAGATGTGCAAGTATTTCTGTAGATATTTTCGGAGAAAGTCTTGATTGATTACAAATAATAATAATAATAATAATAATAATAATAATAATAATAATAATAATAATAATAAATAATAATAATAATAATAATAATAATATTGATAGGCCTAATTATAATAATAACAATAATAATTATAATAACAATAACAACAATAATAACAATAACAATAACAATAAAAATATGTGACACTTATCATAAAGTGTTCTATGCCGGCAAGCCGACTCAAGAGTGCTTACAGTCAATCATATTAAACAATACCATACAGCCAAAAAAATCCATTTTATGCAGCCACATCCCTTAAAAAATGTCTGCTATTATGAAGCGGTGGGGAGGTTAGTCTTCTAAATTATAATTGAAATAAGGAATAAAAAATAAAATTGATTTAATTGTTTGAAATCGAATTGAGTAAGCAAAGACGTCAAGACAAGTGTTTGGAATTTGCTCAGATAAACATGTCATTTTTGTGCTCTATGTAGTACGATACAGATCGCATGAATAGTAGCTTTACGTAATGAAAAAATGGCATAATATACAGTAAGAATTATCTATTAGGAATACAGAGGTTTTAAAAACCATTCGTTATTGGAAATTATGAACTTGAATACCATAACTGTTTCAATTCAACATAATCGTAATTATATATTTAGAATAAAATTGCCGTACTTTTATAGTTTGGTATCTAATTAATGAAATTAGAGAATGCAATTTATTGTATTTTATAGGTCTATATTTCCATTATTATTATTATTATTATTATTATTATGCCTATTATTATACGAATCATTACGAACATTCATGG